GAGATGAATAAATGAATATAATACATTATCAAAAATACAGTGTGTCAAAACTGTGGAATACCAAGTCATAATTACAAGATGTATATATATTTAATCACAATTTTCAAATTTTCCATAAATATGAAGGGGTCACGGTAGCTTGGCGGTCGGTCCTAYGGTCTTATCTCGAGGCTGCAGGCCCGAGCCCAGGTCTCAACAGGAAGTGCATCTTCATAAATGTCCGATGTTTGAACTTCCACAGCTTCTTTAGCTCGGTGGAAGTCGGAGGGGACGTCGGCGGTGTGGCTGCGAGTTCCCATCGCCCTGAGTCGATRCTCCGCCGCCGCCTCGGCTCACGGCTTCACCTTCCATCACGCCAAAAACGACCACGCCGTGCTGGCCCTGTGGCTGGGAGGAGGCCAGAGCAGACTGCCGGGGTTCGCTACTCATCAGGTTGGAGTGGCAGGTGAAGATAAACACACTGACGTTTCCCTCTGAGGCTGTGGCTTTTGAACTTTTATGCTTCCGGCCTTCAAAATAAAAGCTTTAGAAACTCGTGACCACAGATATTACTGGTATGCAAACTTTACTAATAACTAAATAGAAGCACACCTAATAAATACGACTGATTTTATTCATTAATTATTTTTTTATTAGCAATAATTATGGTAAAAATATTCCATTAACAATTTATTTGCATTTAAATTGATGTCACAGAGAGGTTCTGACCTCAACTTTGGGAACCATGTTCTGAGATCTGTTTAGTGACTCTCAATACAAGTACACCTAAAAATTATGAACAAATTCTTATGGTCAAAACTTAACATTCATTTTTAAGTTCAGTTAAATCTGATCCAGCTCCAAAACTACAACACTTTTAGACTCTTCAAACCTGGACTAGATTATTCTACCCTAATAGCAGAATATTTAAAACAGAGTATGTGATTTGTGCAACCTATGTTTCATTTGTGAAACTTAAAGGACCATATTATTGCTTTTTATACATCTCAAACTCACCAGAATTGAACGCAAACGTCTTTCAAATTTGCAGAATTTGCTGTTATTTCAACTTTTAACTGTAACTAATCAAACACATTTTAGCTGTTTCTGTAACTAATCAAACACACTTTAGCTGTTTCAACTTTCTATTCTCTAATTTATTTTTAACGTCTATTTTAGGTAGTTGTGGTTTTGCATTCTGTTTGACAGTGTTTAAATATATATTTTGGTCTTGACATTAATTTGCTTCCATACATATTTATCAACAGAATCTAAAACAACAACAAAAACTAAACTACCATAAACAAATAAATTGCATGTCTGAGCTTTATTAGGACACACAAGTATGAAAAGTAGAATGTACATTCAAAAGTAGGGCTGTGTATTGGCAAGAATTTGGCGATACGATACATATCATAACAGAGGGGTCACGATACGATATATCC